CCTCTAGCCAGGTTGGCCACTAAACAGTCGATACTTTTAGTCGTGATGGAAATGATGTGCGACCCGGTGTTTATCTATGCGCGTGACTTCATAGATCCAGGTGGACGTTCACTCGCGCTACAACTCCGCGGCCAATGAGGCCTTCTGCCTGGAGATCCTGGGCAGTCTGAGACGATGCCTCAGCCAGCAGGCGGATGTGCGACTCATGCTGTACGAGGTGAGGCCTCGCTGCCTCCTGAGGGCAGGAGTGTCTGAGCTCCCTGTGTTCCGCGTCGCCGGTAACGCTGCAGCTGTTCTTGCTTTCAGGGTTTCCATGATGTCCTCCGCCGCAACTCCCAGCTGGCCAGCTCCATCATGCAGACACTTCTGTCCCAGGTGAAAAGAAGCATCCAGGGATATTGCTTACAGATTCCTGCAGCTGGCTGTAGTGGGATTTTAACGGGTATCCATGATGCTTGGCAGCTACAACGTTACTACGAGCCTGAACCCGACCTGCTGCCACCTGTGAAAATGGAGAACTGCATCACTGCGCAGGGAGACGGTGTCTTTCTTCTGGAGCCATTGGTATCCTGCATTCACTGCCTACTCGTGCAATAGCAGGACAGCTTAGCGCAATGCTAGCCTTGGATAATGCCTTGTGCTCTGTCACCTCTGTATCCAAGTACAGGATGAGTGGTTACTAGGATGGATAAGTGTGCCAATTCTTGAACACTTTTTTTTTTTTTTTGGATGTTTCTTCTGTTTTACTTCCAGGCTCATCTGCTGAGCTGCACAGTCCACTGCCTGTTGTGGCACCAGGAGCTCCAGAACCAGAGCCGGGCTGATGATGATGATGATGAGGAGGAAGAGGAAGGGGGGCTCCACGAGGACCTGCAAGCCATACTGGACAGCATGACAAGGCGAATGATCAAGAGTGAGCTGGAGGACTTTGAGCTGGTTTGTGTCACTGCGTCCACATCCAGTTCAAACAGCGTCCGAGGTCTTTGGACTCGTGGCCTAACCCTCTCAGCACTTATCTTGAAAATTTGTGTAAAACAGACTCCACAGATGGCAATTGTACAGAGGCATGTGTGAATGTGGTATGTTTACTTTCCTGCATAATATGTCACTGATGTTTGTGCATTTTTTTCCTCTGTTCCACCTCCAGGACAAATCGGCAGACTTCGCCCTGTCATCCAGTGTCGGGGTGAAGAACAGCATCTATGGCTTACTGGTGTCGGGTGTGTATGAAGTTCTCATGGAGTACACCTTCCACTGTGCCAACTACAGGTACCCACTCCCGGCAGTCGGCTCTTATCTGCCAGCGAGTTTGTGGGAATGACACGCTCACTGTAGCAAGATGTCCTCCAACAGCCGGAGTCGCCTGGAGGAGCTGCTGGAGCTCTTTAACCGCTATCACCGGCTGTCTGAGATGCTCAAGGAGAAGTGCAGTAAGGGCAAGGCCTCCTCTAGCAAGCCGGGCCGCAGCCTGCTGTCGCTGGGCTGTGTAGGGACTCTCCTCAAAGCCCTCTTCAGGTGCCCCTGCATACCTCACACACTCAATCACAAACACTTGTTTCCCTGTGAAAATGGTGGTGGAACCAGGACTGGGACTTGGCAACGCCTATTTAACGCTGTACGGTGCGTCTTCCCCAGAGACTCCACGCTGAGTCGTGAGGACGGCTTGTCTGTGCTCCGCTCCAGTCCTGAGTTCCTGAGCTATGTGGTTGGCGTTGCCCTGCAGAAGGTCCAGCACCTGGAGGAGACTGGACAGACGGACGGTCCAGATGGACAGAACGCAGATAAAGCCTTTCAGCACCTCTGTGACATCACCAGGTCAGAGACGTGCTTCAAGAACACCCAATGGAAGCTGGATTACATTTGTGGTTTTGTGTAACTCTTTGGATTTTATTTCTTGTATAGTGTAATTTATTATCTGTGTACTAGGAAGTCTCAAGCAGCCGGAAGTAAATTCCTCATGTGCCCCAGCACACTTGGCAAATAAAGCTGATTCTGATAATGGCGGTAAGGCTTTGTTCTCTCTCCCTGTCCAGCGTGTTGCTATGGCGGTACCTTCATATTTCACCTGCGACAGAGGAGGGTGGCAAGAAGGAGAAGGGCAGGAGCATCTCCCTGCTCTGCCTGGAGGGGGTGCTAAAGAGCTTCCGCACAGCACTGCAGCGCCATCCCACCCGCCTGGGTCACTTCCTGTCTGCAGTCGGTGAGAAGCCACAGAAGCTGTATACTGTTTCACTTTAACAAAGATGTAGGTAGGTAAGGGGCGCGCACTCATGCAGCGTGTTGCCACACCCACCACACAAGAAACCACCTCGGGGATGAGAACCTGAGTGCAGCCATGCGGCAGATGGTACCTCAGCACCACACTAGTCCTTATGGACCTGTGTGAGGTTTTTTCTTTCTTCCAGTGGCTGCAGTGCCAATCCTGCCACCAGCTCCCAAAATTTTCCCTGTGAATAGGATCACTCCTGGCATTTACAGGATTCGAACCAGCAACCTTCCGATTGCCGGCACAGATCCTTAGCCTCAGATATGGAGGTTTCAGGAATGGATAAACAAAGTCAAAAAATTTTCTTGTAGGGGCTGCAAATGAAGAGGACCAACAGGCAGAGGAGAACATCAACATTACAGAGAAGATGGATTTCTACATCCGCCAGTTCCAGGTATCGCCATTTTAAGCAGGGTCACAGGCCAACTATAACTCTGAGGCTCCCAGTGCTTGCCCCCTGAGCCGGTCTCTCTCCCTCCTCCAGAGGGCGCTGGCTACCCTACTGAGCGGTGAGGAGGACGACTTTAACAGCAAGGAGGCTCAGGTCCTGCTCAGCCTCTTGAGTGTGCTGTCCCGGCAGCTGCAGCCGTCATCCTCACAGGTACGCCAACAGCCCTCAGACTGGGCGGACACTGCAGGGCTCACACTGCAGTCAGGTCCTCCTGCTGGATGCGCCTGTGACATACGCAGTTTTTCATACTGTGAGAAGCTGCATGACCCTGTAAACAGGCCCTGCAATTTCTCCCCGCAGTTTGAGCAGATGCTCACATGGACTGTAAAGATCTGCAAGGAGAGCAGTTTCGGTGAGTAACTGAGCACGTCACGACATGTAGCATTTCAGTGCATTTTATTTGAAGTATGAAGCACAAAAATCATCTGTACAATAAGGTCTTTCCTGTGCCCCCCCCCCCCCAGAGGATGCACCATTCTGCCGGGGGCTGCTCTCTTTGCTGTTCAGTCTGCATTGGGTCTGTAAGAGCCCGGTCACTGTGCTGTGGGAGCTCTCCCAGGACATCCACAGCCAGCTTGGTGACGTGGACCAGGTACGTTCAGCACACACCCTCTGCTGCCCCCTGTACTCATCACGTCACCAGCTCTGGTTTCTGTCCAATAGGACGTGGAAGTGGAGAAGCAGTCTCACTTTGCTGTGGTCAACATGAAGACTGCAGCTCCTACGGCCGTGAGTGACCACCCCCAAAACTGGGCCAAAGTACTGCACACACAATTTATGTTCATTATTATACTCTCCCTGTTCCAGCTCCTGGTCCTGACCCAGGTTGAGAAGGTCCTGGATGAAGTGGACTGGCTGATTGCCAGAAAGAGGCTGGACTGTGGTAGAGACACGGAGAGCTCCGGTATGTGATCATTCCCTTCAGCCGGCAGCCCCGCTCATAGCCAGCCTCTCCCCACGGCTACGGCTGTCTGAGACTGGTGCCCCTTGCTGTGGTCAGCAGAGGCGGCTCTGTCTGGTCGCCAGCAGGACCCCGTGGAGAAGGCGGTGACTCTGCAGCTGGGCACCCTGCTGACGGCGCTGAACGAGCTGGTCCAGACCGCGTTGCCGCCTGGGTCCTACACCGACACGCTGCTGAAGGAGCTGATGCGCACCTATTCCCTGCTAACCACCTTCACCAAATACGTGAGTCAGAGCAGCCCTAGAGTCTGCTCTCCTCCCCCCCCCGCCAAGCCACCTGCGGGGGCACACACAGAGCTACATGTAGACATGGTAAATCATTAGCCAATGCAGCATTTGGAATATGTGCCCTTCCTCCTGCAGTACATCCAGCTGTGTTCCAGTCAGGGAAGACCTCTGCCCTCGCGCTTTGAGAAGCTGGTAAGTCCAGTCAGCCCCAGCCCATGCTCTGCCCGCCTGTCCCCCTACACACCCTCACACACCCACTCTGTCTGAGCAGGTGAAGCTGTCTGGCTCCCACTTGACGCCGCAGTGTTACTCCCTCATCACGTACATCCAGGTACGGTTCAGTCTCGCAGCGCTGTGTCCGAGGGGCCACAACTCAGCCCCGCCAGTGCAGTAAACCCTCTGTGGTGTCTTATCTGGCAGAGCGGGGAGGTGGAGAGCTCGGCAAGAGAAAAGAAAACCGCCAAGAGGGATGAAGCTGTCGCCACAGCCTCAGTAAGCCTCTCTGCTGCCCTCTAGAGGCTGGATGATGTGCTGTGTCCAGTGGATGCAGTCATTTGGCAGCTGCAGGTTTAATCTCAAGGAAGACACCAAAGTCCAAACTTAAATACTAGTTTCCCAGCCAGAATAAGTATTTATTAACAGTGACTGTTGGCTGAGGCCTGTGGTGAACCTGGTGGCGTCTTACCCTCCATATTCAGGCAAAAGTACTGCGGGAGACCAAGGCCATCCCCAACCTCATCTTCAGCATTGAGCAGTATGAGAAGTTCCTTATCTTGCTCTCAAAGAAATCAAAGGTATGCTGCCATTGGCAGGATATTTAACTAAACCAGGCTGTGTGGGCTTAACACTGGTTAACTGTGGAAGCTGTCTATGGTAGCTAATGGTCTGGGTTACCTACCCGCCCCTTACCAGGTGAACCTCATGCAGTACATGAAGCTGAGCACATCCAGGGATTTCCGCATCAACGCAGCCGTGCTGGAGACGGCCTTGCAGGAGAGCGAAGAGGTAGGTCACACCTGGATTTCCTAACCCTGCCCTACCTGGTAAAAAGCCCTGGTGCTAGTTGCAAAACTAACAACGATGCTAACACAGCAGTAAGCTCTTCCTTCAGTTTACTTTCCAAACCAGTTTGAAGCTGACTGCTGTGCTTCTTCAGGCGACAGTGTCTCAAGATGCTGAGGCGAGTGGGGAGCCCCAGAAGAAGAGGAGAAAGTGAGCAGGTCAGCCTGCTGACAGCACGCTGGTCCTCATGCAAGATGGAGCGCCAGGCTGTAGAGCCCACGAGCCCCAGACATCTCCGCAATCTGCTACCTGCCCTTCTCCAAGCTGCCTCTGGTGATCCCTATGATCTGGTAGATATCCAGGGCTTCACCTGCACACAGTTCACAGCATTCAGTGGTTATACAGCTACAGCACTGCGAAAATAAAGCTGCTCTTGTTTCTACTTGTTCATAAAGCCAGTAGTTATGTGCCGTTTGCAGTGGTTCTTCACTCTAATCCTCTCTGTTCCCCCTTTTTTAAGAGGTGTAATGGTCTATTATAACCTGCTAACAGTTCCAAGGACATTTATGTAAATAAAAAGCAAATACTGTACTTGTGTATGGTACCTCAATCACCAAATATATGGTCCACAGAGTACAAACTGTAGCTGAATTCGTGGTGTGCATGGAGGGGCGGTACTCGCACCTTGGGCCAGTCCGTATCGCCGCTGCATCCCCGTGGGGTTGGACGGGGTGCAGCACTCCATGGTGACCTCCTTGCGCAGACACTGGTCAATGTCCACAGCGCTGAAAAAGGCCACCGACTGTGGCAGGTCCTGTATGCCCAGTTTGTAGGCAAACATGGATCTGGAACAGCGAAGGTGACAGCAAGGGTCATCCATGTTATACATTCTTACCATCGCCGAGCCTCTAAATCAACAGAATATTCCAGAAAGGTCAGTCTCTGCACTAAATGCATTAGAAATACCCGAGGCATTGGTGTTGCATCAGAAAGGGCAGGTGCCTCCGCGGCACGGGCACTGACCTCGTGAGCAGGTTTGTGATCTGCAGTGCCAGTGCGGCCCGGTAGCGGTCCTCACTGCGCACCAGGTAGCGCACCTCGTCGTGGATGCTGATGCAGAACCGACCATCGATGTCGAATTCCTCCAGCAGCCACCGCATGGCCACCAGCATCAGGTGGAGATAGTCCACAGCTGAGCTCTGAACCACCCAGTTCACCCGACTGGTGATGAACTAAGATGAATGAAAACACAGCTGTCAGCACCCTGACCTCCTTACAGCAGTGCGCACGGACATGAGGGTTTCCGGAATTTACACAGTAAGCAGCATCATGGAAGCATTAGGTACCTAAGAAAGTAGAGCCGTCATGTATTACTTGCGGCGTGTGGCTCAGTGGGCTAAGCCTGTGTGCCTATAATCAGAAGGTTGTGGGTTCTTGAGCAAGGCCCTTAACCCCCAGCTCCCTGGGTGCCGCTACAGGTGGCTGCCCTTCACGGACAGCTTACTTACAAAGAGCAAGTTGAGGGAAGCGTAAAAACAATTTCCCCACGGGGATTAAAAAAGCAATTATTAAATTCGATTACTGGGGGAAAAAAGCAAGGATTCGAATTTTCCTTCTCGATTCCTCGGCAATATAGCGGAAGGGAGACGGTGCCTAGCAGATGAGAGTCCAAATAAAGAGCGAAGGCATCAGTTGTATGGAAGCACTTCATGTGGAAAGTGAATGAAAATGCAGTCTGTCAGAAGTGCAAAGCAGAACTTAAACATCAGACTGCAATGCAAATACATCTTATAAGACGACGCTAAGGTTTGACGGACACCCAATATTCCGAGATTAGCCACATATACGTGCCATTTAGCCTCTAGGAGTAGCCTGGCTTGTCTGTCATCACTCTCACAAAGTATTTTGCTAATTTACTTTCTACAATCCCTGTATGTCAAAATAATCGCTGCTAAAACGAAGGTTGGCAGCGTCGCTTAGCCACGTCTAACATAATACACTTTATATCTACCAATAGAGTCTATCAGATAAGTTGGTAGATGCAGTGCCGACCTCACTTCCTCTTGCTCGGTATCATCTCTATGGAATACAAAATATTTCCAGACAGTAAGAGACGGATGTCTTTTCGTGACCAGTTCTTATTCGCTTTTCTCCACTTTACTCATTTTTGTTTAATTTGTCAGAAACGTCCCACATGGTCCATGATTGAGTCCAACAGCAAGGATGAGAATGATTATGATTCTCGTAGAGTGCATGCAAAAGCAGTTGCGATAAACTTTAGACTTACTTTTTTTTTTTTTAAACGTTCCACAGTAGATAATGCTGACGTGGAACCATTATTAAAATTGCAAAGCTTGTTGAAGATTTGTTTCCTATGACTGACCAAACACGTTTTAGCGCAACTTATCGATGGTTTGAACCCAGCATACTGCCGAGGTCCTTGCAGTGTGACAATTGCATGTGCATGATATGCCAAGTGAATTGGAATGCCTCAATTTTCCAGATGTGTGGCTTTAGTATACATCAACTGAAATGCATATATTATATTATTCTATAAAGGATTATTCGATGAATTATCAGATTAATTGCTATATTACACGATTATTTATATAATCGATAGTGACAGCCCTTAAAGTAACCTGCACTGACATTTTTGAACTGACTGGCCTGTCTAGCCGATTAAGCCCCCACCTCATCTTTGACGACCCTGGGCTCCAGTGCTCTGCTGATGCGGCAGCCCAGGACGGGGGTGCACGGCGCCTCAGAGTGGGCGATGCTCTCCAGCTTGTTGAACATCTCTGATTCTGTGCCCCCCGCCCAGGTTCGCTGTTCCACCACTTCCCACTTTCGTCCCCGTGACCTTCAGGGACGAACATGAGACAGATCCCATTTAGTAATGACACACTGGAACCCAGTACATGGACGTTATTCGGTGTCTGAGAGGCATGAGTAGAAGGCAGGCCGTACTTACATTTGCGAGGCCAGCCTATGGATCTTGCGGAGCTGCTGCAGGGACACGGAGCCGCTCTCGTCGCGCTCAACCTCAAGCTGGAGCTGCTGCACCAATGACTCTCCCTCCTCGGACAGGCAGTACCTGAACAGCAGAAGGGGAGACAGGCGTCAGCTGACTCTGCCCCCGGCCAGCTGCCCTGGGCCCCCCGTCCCTCGGGGCAGATGGTACCTGCGGAGGCCCTTGGTCACAGCATACATGTGCCGGGCTTTGTCCGCTGCCTCGGCCGGGCTCAGCCGATGGTTGAACTGCATGAGCAGCCGCTCGGCGAAGGGCTGCCCAGCACCGTAGATGCGGCCGTAGTTGAAGACCTTGGCGTGCTCGCGGCTAATGCCCACGGCCTGGGCGGTGCGGCTGTGCAGGTCAGTGCCCTGGCTCTTCTTCCCCTGGAGAGTCATCCAGCCAAAGGCTGTGCATCCTGTCAATCACAGCGATAATGACATAGTCCTTTGAGCGTAAGGTCACGCCCACAACACAGGACGTCCGCAGCACATGACAACCTCAGTGAACTGGACCCCAAATAATTAAGGGACAATCTAAGAGGTTGCAGCTGCAGAAGAGATCCAGCTTTGGTCTTTTTGCATTCAGTGCAAAAGCTTGACTTATCTGCTGGAAATTCAAGTCAATTTTGACTTAACCACCAGCGAAATTATATTATTATAGTGAATATCATCATTATCATTGTTGTATAACAGTTATTAATCATATTCTTTCGTCCAAGATAACATTCAAGTAAGGAAAGATTGATCATTGAACAGGGCCAGCCAGCATACAGCATTGCTTGAGTCGTTGGGGTTAAGGGCCTCGCTCAAGGGCCTACTGGTGCTGATATACTCTCCTGGGCACAGGATTCGAACCTCAGTCCTCAGACACCACCAGATGGTCTTCATTTCTGTTCTAGTCCGCCACCTGATTTTAGTCAGAATGACTAAAGCCCCCAGTTACCAATCTGTTAAGTTATTCACGACACTGCAAAATGCAGTCCAAGATGGCGAAGCGACGGTACCGTGTATGCCCGCGAAGTGCACCTCGCCCAGGATGGCAGCGATCCACAGCTCCTGGGAGTCCACGTCGGCCCCGACCAGGTGGTATCCAGGGGGCGTCTGCACCATGGCCTTCAGCTCGCTGCCCACGCGGTCACGCTGCCGAGCACATCAGCTGCTCACCACACCAGCTTCCCCGACCCACCTCCTCCGCCAGGAGCTAGCCTGAGGGACATCTCGGGACGCCCCGGGACGCCCCAAGCCCCCTGAGCGAGCACAGCGCTTACCCTGGCATTGCTGGCGGTGAGCCAGGTGGGCTCCACCGCCCTCCGTGTGACGGTTCCTGCAGTGATGACCTGGGGCAGGATTGCACCGTACTGACTCTCCCCATCAAAATCGGCATGTCTGTTGCAGAGAACGCAGACAGGTTTCATCTGATAAAGGTTACAGTGATTCTCTCCATACGTCTGTATTAGGGCTGCGCAGTATCACATCGCGATTTCATGGCGCACGCGCAATAATCTCCCGGGATTTAGATAACAGGCGTAAACATTTGTCTGGACGCCGGCTTTTCAGTACTATACGGATGTTTTCATATGGCCACATTTTCGTAAGCAGATCAGCAGTACGGCTAAAATATAAACAAGAGGCGTACTGTGGCATCCAAAAGTTACTAATCTGCATAAATTCGGCGTATCCTTATGTTTAATAAACGTGCCAGACTTTAAACTGCAAACAGCACCACCACACCACCCACGTCTTTGTGATATTACAATATCACCTCTTTCAAAAGACGTAGTTGGTGAGTGGTCCCGTTCTTCACTGCCAGTTCAGTGCTTATCGCTTCCAAGATGAACTAAACCAGTAACAAGTGGCACGCTCCGCTAGCCGAATTTCATAAACATAAGGATGTGGTATCGCGCAGCCCTAGTCCACATGGTGGCTGCTGATGGTGTCTCCACTTACCTTCTGACAGGGAGGGGCAGCTCTGCCTTCCGAAGCCACACCACCTTCTGGCTGCTGTATGACAGGAGACGGCAGCTTAGCTCCACCCATCCCTCAATCTGGCACTAACCTGCGGCTGCTGGCTGCGCACGTACCCGATTCGCTTCTGCGCATTTCTCCAGAACGAGATCATCTTGTTGATCTCCAGAGCCCTGGCAGCGTTGGTGCCCCCACGCCCTGCCTGCAGAGTACCATCCTCCATCTTGGACAAGAATTCTTTGGAAAACGGGCTCCCGACATTGTTGTCGTTGCCATCCTGATGCAGAAATGAAGATCTCATTAGCTGGCAGCTTCTAGGCTGGGAGAGAAAGCCACACAGCAGAACAGCTAACAGAGCTTCACTCACCTTATGCGGAAGTTTAAAGAACCAGCACCCGGGGATGCTGACATCATCGTACGGCCCATTACCCTGGTGATAGGGACAACCGCCCTCATTCCCTGCTGATTTCGGAGCCTTCATTTCCTATTCGCAAAGTGACACAAAGAGGTTATCAAAATGCAGAGGATTCCTCGACCCAAATCCTCAACAAAATGAAGAAGCTCCTCTGTACCTCTGTCCTTTTGCTCTTGGTACTCCCTGTTTTGAGGTCATCCTCCTTCTCCAGCAAACTAAGCTCTTCCACCTACAGAATACAAAGGGAACTGTGTCCTCTGGGTCTCAAAAGCACAACTCAAGTCGGAAGCTTACATAGACTTAGCTGGAAGTCATTAAATCCCATTTCTTAAGCAGTCCACAGATGTCATGGTAGCAAACTACGGTTTTGACACGTCAGTTAGGAGATCCATTTCTGCACGACAACTCATTTTTCCAGCAGTTGTTTACAGACAGATCTGGTTCCCAACCCTAGTGCTGATAGGCAGTCCTGAGCCCAAATTTGAGAAGAATTTCAACAATTTAGCTTCCCTGCTCTCAAGTTCTTAATGATTTAAAGCAGGGTTCTTCCAATCTGGACCTCGATTCCAAATCCAGGCCTTGTTTTCAGCTCTCCCAGGTAGTTAGTTTAATAATTCCTTATTCTGATTGGTCAGAGGCTTCACACCTGACTGACAGGTAAAGGAAAGCTGGAAAACCAGCAGTGGTTGGACCTCGAGGACCGTGATTTGAATAACCCTGATTTAAAGGGAAATTCTGCTGGGTTACAATAGATATAAAACAAGACAAGTGACCACCTCAATAAGGGCAGAAGACAAACCAAAGACAGTTTGTGTAAGCCGTGAAGATGGGAAGTGTTTCTTACAGTCTGCCACACGGTGCTGTCCGTCAGCATCATTTCCTCAGAGACAGGGCTGTCCACACACAGCGCCTGGTCCGTGCCATTCCTCTCGCAGTATTCCCTATAGAGGGCCTCAATGGCTCTGCAGAGTGATCATGACACCCAATTCATCAAATGTGAGCAACGACAACCGCTAATGACATGATCTCAGTGGGAGGAATTTATTTTTGGGCCCCATGACAAGCCAAACACAACCCATGGGTAAAGACTGCAGACCTTAATGCGGACGTGTTTAACAGATTACAAAAAATCTTTGACCCGTAGATAAAGTGCACGCCATATCTCTACTTGAACCACATCAAGCTCAAAAAGAGCCACAGAACAATCACCCACTGAAAACTGCTCTGCACTCTCCCCATCGCCTCCCCATATCCTCCTAATCACCTCTCCCCATATCCTCCTAATCACCTCACCCCATATCCTCCTAATCGCCTCCCTATTATCTCATCTCCTCCCCACAGGCTCCCCATCTCCTCCCTGTAGCATCCCCATCTCCTCCCCATAGGCTCCTGTCTCCTCCCCATCTCCTCCCTGTAGCCTCCCCATCTCCTCCCCATCTCCTCCCTGTAGCCTCCCCATCTCCTCCCTGTAGCATCCCCATCTCCTCCCCATAGGCTCCTGTCTCCTCCCCATCTCCTCCCTGTAGCCTCCACATCTCCTCCTAATCACCTCCCTATTATCTCATCTCCTCCCCACAGGCTCCCCATCTCTTCCCTGTAGCCTCCCCATCTCGTCCCCATAGGCTCCTGTCTCCTCCTAATCGCCTCCCTGTAGCCTCACCTCCTCCCCACAGGCTCCCCATCTCCTCCCCATAGCCTCTGTAGGCTTCCCATCTCCTCCTCACAGCTTCTCCTTAGCACCCCCACTGTCTCCTTGTAGCCTCTCCATAGCCCTCATTGCCTCCATGTAGCCTCCCCATCTCCTCCCCTTTGCCTCCCTGTAGCCTCCCCATAGCTTCCATGTAGCCTCCCCATCTCCTCCCCTCTCCTCTTCCCCATCCCTGGTGCACCTGTGGGGGCACACTGGCCCCTGGGCGTCCTCCTGGGGCTCTAGGTTGTCCAGTCGCCCGGGGACCAGGTAACCCCAGCCGCGTCTCTCCGTGTAGTGCAGCGGGAAGCCATCCCATGTCAGCCCCATCAGCTTGGGGGTCACCCGCATCTGCAGGCTTATCAAACTCGGCCCAGGGGACCACCCCTCCTCTGACATCTTCATACATAGCTTGCGGTACCACCTAGGGCAGAGACACCAGGGAATGAGCCAGCACAGGTCAACGTGGAGATGATCTTCCAGCCAGCAGGTCAAGCCATAGTGTCTAGGGGTGCAGCTCACCCAGGGTGCCCGGGCAGATGCTGTCTCCTCTTTGGAAGGAGCCTTACGGTCTCCTTCAGCTGCTCCAGCTGTGCTACCCCAGCCTCCTCCTCTTCTATGGGGGGTCCAGGGTCTGGGATTACAAAACACCCCCACTGTGAAATGCTGAGTAAACGTTTTAGAATTGTAGAATGCTTACACATAGCTCAGTGTGTTTGCTGTTCAGGCTGGCAGCAGTGCTCACCAGCCTGTTCAACACCTCCTTAGAACATGCCGACGTTCCGTCATTGTCCCATCATCTTGGTTCCAAAACGGGCAGCAGCCGGATCCCTGAACGACTACTGTCCAGTAGTCCTGATCCCCATATAGCCCACATATAAAAACACATCCTGCCTTTCTTGGACCAACACCACATTTGCCTACAGGGCAAACAGTTCTGCTGAGGACGCCGTCTCGTCCACAGACCACAGACTGTATGCATGGGCCAGTGCTCCTCCACTGTCATAACACCAAACACTGGAGCATCGCAGGGCTGCGTGCTGAGCCCTCTGCTGCATTCACCCTTCACAGACCTGATCTCAGTCAACAGTGAGTCGGCCTATAGATGGGAGGTTAAGTAACAGGAGAGCTGGAGCCAGGACAACAACCTCGCCCTCAACCAGAAGAAAAGTAAGGAGCTGATCCTGGACTTCAGGAGATCGACACACAAGGACCATCATCCCATCAACATCAGTGACGAGAAGGTGGAGTCTGTCCAAAACTTCAGATTTCTTGGTGTCCATGAAAGCTTTAGATCAGGGGTGGCCAATCTTAGCCACAAAGGGCCGGCATGTATGCGGGTTTTCGCTGTAACTGCCCAATTAGATTACTAATTAGAGGACTGATTGACACCTTAGTTTGAACAGCTGACCTACAGGTTATCCCAAAAACCTGCATACACACCGGCCCTTTGCGGATAAGATTGCCTCCCCCTGCTTTAGATGCTCAGTGATAGATACCATCGTAAAGAGCAGGACGACAGAGCTGAGCCTCTCACCTTCATCCCAGTCTCTCACCGTCCTCGTGGGTTCTGCCGCCGGCTTCACTGTGACTCCTTTCTTCTTTCGGAGAGCTGTCTTCTTCTGCTTGAATTCCTGAACATCCCATTCCAGGTCCCACAGCCAGGGATCCTCTTTATATCTAAGACAGACAGACAGTCGGACAGACAGATTTCACAGAGACACATATTTGCCTGAGGTCTGATTCCGGCACGTGTTCCCCCTTCCTCCACACGAGGATTCAGGTGCCATCTGACCTCTCATGCTGCAGAAGCTGGCAGGCATCGTTTGCCAGGTTCATCAGAGATTTCTTCATCTCCCGCTGCAGCTCCTCAAAGGTACCCTGTGCATCCTCCAAGTACCGGTCCCAGTTTTGATTGACGGGCAAATAGCAGACCCCCATCTCCAGCATGCCGGCGAATGACACAGGGTGGGGGCACCTGGAAAGCAGGAGGCAGGTGAGGCGAGAGGACAACCCGAGGCGGGCAGCAGCGAGGCGGGCCTCCGTACCTTTCCATAAACAGAGGCAGCTGCTCACAAAACACCTCATGAGTCGCCTGCACATCAAGGGCACAGTATGACATCAGTGCCTGCAGTGGGACACAGGTGCACCAATGAGTGACCGGGACAGTGGCAGTCTGTCAGTGGATCTACACGTGATGCCCACTCACCTGGAAGCTGCCTCTAACATCAGCCATGCTGCCTTTTACAAAGACCTCCCTAGCTTCCTTCTGCAGAGGCTCCCCTCCGACATAGAGCGCGTGGACGTCTGCCAGGTTATTAATGCTGCTGATGTCCACCCAGTCCCACGAACCAATCTGCACAAACACAAGAAGCAGAAGGATTTTTTTTTTTTTTTAAACAGTTCGCTTTCCATGAAGCAGACGGCCACATAGAAATACGCTCATCAGCCATTGACACCTAATGTCCCATTTTTGCTTTATCTGCAGACTCACCACAGAGCCGTCTTTGCGCCTGCCTGTCTTCTTTACGTGCTCTCTGACCTCCTGAAGGCCACGCCTCTTGCCATGCCTGCTGGCCATCCACAGCGAGCGCTGAAAGCCAGTTAGCCCAGAGATGGCCATATGCATGCTCATGGTGTCCAGGAAACGCATTTTAGATCCCTGCGATGAGAAATCGGCTCATCCCATCAAGAGCAACGGCAATTCAACACAAAGAAGCAAAAATAAATTAAATAGAGTGCAGACTCCTCGGTACCTTCAGAAGGTACTGCTCCTTGATGTGAGCACGGTCAAAACTGACATTGTGTCCCACCAGCAGCCGCTCCTGCCATGCATCTCCTGGTGGCCGGGAGGAGTTGGCTGTGGTCTCTAAGGGGATGAGGTCCGCCAGAGTTAACTGACTGGACCAGGTGTATCTCTCCTCAATCAATCTTCTGCTGCACCATGAGTACCTTGGGAAACACACAACCACAGTATGCTTGCTTAGTTTTCAAGGGTCTTGCTGACCACCTGGTTTCAGCAACCACTGGAAACTCATGACAAACTGTGTTCATTCAGATACATATGACATCACTCAGTCACAGAACTCATCCAGCAATAAGCCTCATTATGAGTGGCAGTACTTAATGTGTGAGAACTTTACGAGATGATATAATCTTGCCCTCACCAGGCAGAAGGAGAAACAGCGACAGCCAGTGTTGGGCACTGACCCTCGGCCATGCACACCTCCACATCGAACACCAAGGCCTTCTCTTCAGGAAAGTCCACCTTGCAGCACTGGCCGTCTGCATTGTACCGCGTCCAGCCCACTCCCCATGCCCACTCTTTAGGTATCTGGGGCAGCTGGGCATGGAGGAGATGATTGGCTGTTTCCAGGTAGGGCAAGCTCTGTTTCTTGGCCAGGATGTGGAAGTGCTCGTCGATGTTGCTGCCATACATGCAGGGCAGGTGCAGCTCCACATCAGGCAGCAAAGGGGCATCTTTGCCCCAAAGCTGATGCTTCTGTAGGTGCTTCACGCTACGCTCCACATCCTCCTGCCGATACTGTGGCATTGACCCACGAAAAATCTGCTCATGTAAATTCCTGGACACCATCTGAATGTTCAATGGGTTTAGCCGGGTCTGGGGTGGCAGTTCTGCTTGAACACGCGATTCCGAGGAGCAGTACCGCTCCCACGTGCGTACGGGCCGCCTCCGTGAAACAGGAGCGACGCAGAGCGAAAGCCGACGCCATCGGCACTGCCGCAGTAGGGGGAGCTGCATCCCTGTTCTGTCAAAGGCAAATTACAGTCCATGGACACATGGATCGCAATCTTAATGAATGCAACGTACACACGTATTTACCTTATTGTTCTTTATATCATAGTTATAAATGCAAAACGGTTTGAAATGCGGCTGAGGGGTTCATATCGGACCTTACGTTAGTGGACTAACAATCTGCGTTTCAAACTTGCATGAGGCGACCGCGCTGTTCTTTTCCACATATATAATTTCAAGTTGCTGATTAGGCCACTATGTGAATCGGACCAATGCAATGCAGTGATTAAAGTTCACACTCACGTCAACACACGGTGGGTTTTTTAAATTGTTTTACGCTGCTTAACAATCTGCATGTTGTTTATGAACGCAGAATATCCTAGATGCAATAGCAAAGCTATAGATGGCTAGCAAACATTACAGTTAGTGTAATATGATTTAATCTTTCCAAAAACAAAAACACTTCTTAACTCCACCACGATTAATTTAACTCAGTATTAAAACACGAACGATACATTCACCCACTACCTTAAATGCCAAACACGGTAGAAGAAGCGTAAAGGAAGAAATCATAAATCGCAGCGCCACCGTCTGGCTTGGATGTTCTACGAAAATCGCCACTTCCCGCTCCCTTTAGCGGCTTTTAATAACTCCAGTCCTGTATTAAGAGCTGAACGTCACGGAATGTATCGCATTTGACATTTAAATTAATTAAAATGTTACCATGCAAAAACTATTTGCTTTTGATTCTTAGAGTAGCATTTATTTAATTTGTAGATTATTCACAAAACACAAAGGATCTGTCAAAATACAACCGAATATTCAGCATATATCCGCAGGAAAAATAAAAGCCTTGGTCTAATTTTAAAGTGGCGTGTTATATGATGAGGAGTTTTAGGGCTACATTAAGAATAATAACACTTTACTTAAGGGATATAAATAACTTAGTTATTCAGTTACTACTCAAGAACAAATTATGAGCTCAAATAAAGTATTACCCAATCGGGGGTTAGGAATACAGGTAAGCCACTTGCTACCGCTTATATGGCTCTTGACATCTCACTGTAAAAATGTTCTGTCAGTTAGGGCTCTTAGACCTCATGGTTCACTGGCGCAGCAGACACAATTGAGTGAAAAACTTAATACAAATTACCCCGGGAAATTATTTGCTAAATAAAGTAGATAAACAACAACAATAATCCATCCATCCGATTATTATTATTATTATTATTATTATTATTATTATTATTATTATAAGCGCTTAATATAAATGCATAGGCTATAAGCATTTATGTGAATTTTTGCGAGGCTAATGCGACTCCTTAAGTGGCCTACGGGTGTATTTCGCCGCATGGCTGAATGTTGATGTTGAAACACGCAGAAGCATCATGTAAGTGAGTCTGATGTCTATCCCAAACAGTACCGAGCACAGAGATAGGACAGGATGCCAGTGTCAGGGCGCACACATTTAGAGACACCAATTACGGCCTTAAAGGTTTGTGGTTCGAATCCCAGTCCTGCATATTGAGTATGCATATTCTCCCCCTGTCACATGTGTTTTCTTCTGAAGCTGAGATCGATCAAGACACACAACTTCAACAGACTACATAAGCTACTTATGACTTCATGTAAGAAACAAATGCTTTCGCTACTTTCACAATGCGTTTACCAACTCGTGCCAGGTGAGTGCGACATTGAGTTGTATTTAGGCTAGCATTATTTCCCACAGAAAATCGCAATTAGTTTCTCCGTAAAATTCAAATGTAGAAAAGAAGGAAGTGTTCACCTGAACAAGGGAATATGCTAAAAAAAATTTGAACAAAGATTCTTTGAATAAACCTCTTCAAGCTTGGTCTATTCGCCTTTTTCTCTGTAACGGATGCCTAATTGAGGGTTCGGGCTGTTTATGCATACGCTTAATTTATGTATTACCTGGATTAAATAAACGCAATTCATTAGGCTGTGCAGTATATTATATGGGATCAGCAGGGGTAGGCTTGCTTCTCTGGGAGGGCAGGCTAAAGAGGGTAGGGGACCCCTAAGTGGGCTGTTTGAGCCATTTTTGAGCCTAAAGAGAAACGAGGGGAATTCAAAATGATGTAACAGGAGTGATATGCTAGTTACATCACGGGGGGCAGCGGTAATAGCGATCAGCAGGGGCGTTGATAGAGATTTTGGGCCCCATGAAAGCATATCATATTGGGGCCCCCAGTCCAGACCAATCCAGTTAAATCGTCCTAGTACGGCGCCCTTGCCGATCAGGTTGGGGACCGGAAAGCTTAAAGGTTCGCCTGTCGGGGGAGGAGGTATCCTCGGTTGCAAATTCTCACGCATCTGACGTGACACTCACGCTCACGCAAGAAATGTTACGGCAAATCTGTATTATTCCGTTATGAACCTGAAAATTGTTACATCAAACGCGTTGGTGCAGTTTCAAACCCTGCAGACCATTTAAAAGGCAACCCTGGTCTCGCACTGGGATCGGTCGCCCAAATTTAAGTTACATTGTAGGCCTATTATAACAGGTTATGATATTGTAACCAACATGTTATATAGATGGTGTCTAGTGGACATTTGATCTATGTGTTTTGTTAATAAAAAGGAAGTTGGGATTAGGTGGCAGGGTTCTCCCCAGCCCGCCAAATTCCGCCCCTGGACATTAGGCTATGTATGACATGGATTTAAAAGTTTTTCAGTTGTATCTCACCGAGATCTGATACAAACATGTCAAAAGCTCCATTACGCTTTCAGTCAGATCAAAGGGAGCTTGGCGATTCAAACGAATTACTATTTCACTGCAATAGGCTATCAATCGACCTCACGTGGTCAGTTCTCAAACACAGATTACAAGACAATGTGTGTTATCCTTACGTGTCATTTTTTTTTTACAATATTTCTCCACACTTGCGATTTTTGCATGTGTATAATAGTATTGTTTTTCTATTTGTTTGCGTTGTACATTTCGGCTTCAAAGCCTTAAATACAAACCATTTTAATTATAAATCTGTATTTACATAGTATATAATGTACATTAATATGGTGGTCTTGGGTGTTAGACATTACTTTGGTATTATACAAAAGGTACCGTCCGCTTATTTTTAGTTAGTAAAACGCTTTCTCCTTCTCCCTAGCCATGTAGGCTGTGTCGCTGTGTGTCTTTCATAAATCATTTGGGTAGATGAAGGATTAATAACACAATATTGGCATATTAAAATTATATATTATTATTACGTTATAGTTGCAGGAAAATCTTCATCCGAAAGTGACGGTTTTCTGATGATTTTTCCATGAAACAAACAATGAACCATGACTTTTTATTTGTGATTTTCTTTCATTTAGTTTAATTAATTTCATTTCATTATGTATCGATGTGAAGTCGTACTTTGACATATACATTTAGTTATGTCTCAGTAAGCGAGCTAAAAAGGTAAATTGTAAAATGTGTCGTACTGATTATTGATAAAGGGAAATATTTCGAAGTTTCATTCTTCGTCAAGTTTACATGTATGACAAATCGGTTAAACTAAGTTAAACTAAGTTGCAAAAATCTTCCAACCCAAATTAAGTACATGCCTAATTTACATTTCCTTTGCCCAAATATAAATAATAAATAATAAACAGCATGATACCACGGGTCCCGATGTGTGAAGAAGCTATGACACACATAACAGCACAATAATTCCTCATTTCTGGGCAGCGTCCCCATTACTCACTATTTCCACCAAATCCATAAAAATCACTACATCCCAGTTGGCATTTAGTCGGCTAACTGTGCTTTCGCTAAGAATTCCTGGTCAGCGGGCTCAGCAGAATCAGAATGCAGCCACTTACGGGCATTCATTTTTTTCGTATTAACGTGCTTTAAAAGGCAGCACCATTCTGCCGAGTTAAAAAGCGCTGTGAGATAAACCAGAAGCCGGTGAGCTGGGCATTGTTTTCTGAGGTTGATGCAACAGGATGACCTGGGACTATAGTGATATGCTTATAAATTCAATGCTCATTATTTCATATTTTGACCTAAACTGTGATTGCTTTATTAGTTCATCCATGACTCAGTTGAATTCTTAAAACAAATGTTAGTTGTGTGAAGAATTTATAAACTAATCCAAGTGAATGGATTTAAAAAAAAATACATATATCACGCCAATTATCCAATGGAAATTAATCATATAAAAATGAAAATTCTATTATGAATTGATTTTAAAACATGTTTTACAACTGTGAAATTACAGAATAGAATTATATTATATATACAGATTGTTTATTATTATTATTATTATTATTATTATTATTATTATTATTATTATTATGTCTATACCTTGCATTTTCAAAAAATAATAATTAATTACCGAACATGGTATATGTCTATACATTTTCTCTTTCCAAATTCATGCGATTTCACGATTCGAATTTGTAATAATTCTGCTGATTTGAACAACCCGTTAACAGGCTTGTAATGCACGGAACAATAGAGACACAAGCAGTTAACTTAACCTGATATAACCTCTCATGAACTGGAACCGGACTCTCGTTTAAAACGAGCGTTTAATGATACGAGCAACAAAAGGCAAAGGGCAGATGTCAAGAGCCGGGCTGTTCATCATTACCCCCCGCGCTGCCCTCTGACTCCCGGCGAGCTTCTCCCAAATCTCTCCGGTGGGACAGGGCTGACTCCCGGCGAGCCTCTCACAAATCTCTCCGGTGGGACAGGGCTGACTCCCGGCGAGCCTCTCACAAATNTCCGGTGGGACAGGGCTGACTCCCGGCGAGCCTCTCACAAATCTCTCCGGTGGGACAGGGCTGACTCCCGGCGAGCCTCTCACAAATCTCTCCGGAGGGACAGGGTTGCTATAAGTTTCTTATCAACCTAATAGAAACAAAGCGAAGCGTATTGATAAGGATGTGTCAAAGTAACAGTCCTAAATATACAGAAAGTTCTTTGTCTCAATTCTACGTGTGTTATAATTATGTATGGCATTGACAATAAATATTTACACTATAACTATCGGCTCTATTAATAAAATAATAATTTCATTGTAACAATAATTAATGACAATAGCACAAGAATACTGATTTCAGAAAATAAGGTAAAACGGAAAAAGTACAATAACTGAAAGAACTGTTGATAAACCACAATGGTTAAAATACCGGAATTGTCGGATTAGATTAGGTCTTCAAACCGCAGCATATTCATCTACCACGGCGATCCTAATATTGTGAGGATGACTGCAAATAAATCCGCTGTCAAATTAGGTAAAACGACACTTGGTAACGCTTCTGTTTCTGCTGTTTCTTTCCATTGAAAACTGCAAATGATTCTTATTTACCATTGTTTGTATTCTCATTATAACGACAACAATATTATAAATGATAACACCACACTTTGTGCTCTTTGTACTAATGAATTACTCCTAAAATTACAACAAGACCCATATTTATAGTAAGGGTCTTCTTCAAATTTTTGTTTTTACGGACGGCCAAGAATTGTGCAACTGTTCTACACAAATTACACAAAAAATTGTGAATGTCCATTTAGAATGTAATAAATAATTATGCTGCAATTTACAGTGAACTACAGTACATATGTTTACTGGGATAATATAGCAATGTCAATTCGATTCTGATCGTTGAGTCCGTACTAATAAAATTCAGAATTATCAAGTTAGCAGAAGCTGCATATGTATGCAATGCCCTTCGAGTGGTACCTATGCCTAAAATAATTATAACCTGCTTAAGTTATTCTTCTAGAAATGACAGGTCTACAGGGTCATTTTCACTTTCAAACGTCAACAACATTGTCCTACAAGAGAAACTGACTGTAACGGGAACTGCAAACGAATGACACCCGAGAGATGAATAATGGAAGGTCTTTATGAGAATAGAAATTATGACGAAAGAAGACTGATTAAATGATTCAGGGATCTGGCACATTTTTACCGCTCATCAACAGTAATGTGTTTTGTAACTACAGTTGAATATAGGAGTATATCTATTAATGTGCAAGGTAAAGCTATCATGTAGGCCTTTAAATAAGACCTCGGTTAGTTGAATGAGTTGGTGTTGGTCATTCGTAGTAGGCCTATCTCTTGTTCCGGCGATTCAGAGTCATACAGCAGAAAACATCTAGCAGGATTTAAACATAACTGAGAGCTCTGAGAAAACGCGAGGACCTCAGCCGGCGATGCTTCAAGTTTGATTCATCAGGGGGCAACGATGCCGTCACACTCAAGGAGAACAAAGGAACGTTAATGTGAGTCGACCCATGAATTTGGATGCAGTTAAATTTCAGGACACGTTCACTAACTATGTGACGGTGTTGAATAATAAAGACAAACAATAAGAGGAGACTGGGGGGGTCTTTTAGAGCTGGTGAGAAAATGCTCCGACTCAAAGTTGGCTTGGCGTCTTTATTTCAGCGCCAATGGACCAGAAACAATTCAATAGGAAATCCAGGGAAAGATTACCACGCGGGTCCCAGACTGTATTAATTATTAGTGATTGACCTAAATGTAGATATTATGCCGAATATCTTCAATATAATCGTACAATATGAATATGTAATACAATATACATATTATATATGCATTATTCATATAATATTTTCATATGCATATATATTATGTTCATATATACATATACATGCATACCTTAACACTAACAAGAACTGTGTAAGGACATTTTACTTCATGATGAACTGTTCTTTGGTTCATTCCATTTGTTTCATCGTCATACATTTCAGCCACGTGTGTATGATTTTAAAGCATTAAATCTGTTGTAATAATTACACATTAAAAAACCAACAAGTAGGGAAAAAAACTAACCACATACTTGCACTCACACACACAAAACATGCATAAATTATTCATAGATGAGAATATATACCCAGATATTAACTGCGATCACGTCAGAGAATAAGCATAATGATTTTAATCACTCATATCACTAATATATTTAGTTTCACATTACAGAACGCCATGTAATCGTACTAGTTATTTTTTGTGTGCGCCGTACTATAAGAATCAAACAAATTCTTATTGTTGGTTGAGTATCACCAACCGACCAATCAATCATCAGCCACTAAGGGAAATATTTCCACACATTGATGTCTATGTTTAATGTCACTGGCAGCTGTTTTGCATTACATAGCCTAATAACTCTAATATGGTTTATTTTAAAATCTCACAATCTAAATATTATTTTGTAGTTAATAAAATACTACAATTAAATAGTATTATTATTTCCGTGCATTGTTACTTTTTAGGTGAATACACTTTGGTTACGTCTGTACAAATCGTTGATACATGTGAAATCCAAATACAATGTATGCTCTAAATTTACAAATGAAATGGAATTTTAAAAATCAGGTTTACATACACATGTACGCACAAACACACACACACACACACACACACACACACCCTCTTCTTACCTGATTGGTCACTCAGTTGCCTGCCGCTAGGCTGACGTCATTGCAGGAGAGAGCTGTCAGAGGAGGAAGCGTCGAGAGAAAGACGAGAGCTTTGAGGGACTGGACAGCAGCGGGTTAGCTGTATGAAGATTAAACTGGACTTGGGAAGGAAGAAATGAAAATGACATAAAACAAGCAAGTTTATATGGAATCTAATACTAAGTTTAACAGAGAAATGACTATTTACAAGACAAATTTATCCAGAATGAAAATAAAATGCGAACTATTAAAACGCGAACCTTACAGCACTAAGGATTCACATCATCTTACCTGGTCTTTCTGAGGCTTCGGCATCTGCTCGGTGGTTTTGGTTATTCACTCAGATTTCGCTTCCACGCATCCCGCCTCATTCACGTTTACACCGGAGCTTTTATTGACGACCGCATCACGGAGGCTTTCTGGAGATGTAATGGAGAAATAATGCCCGGCCGAAGTAAGGACCTTTTATCACATTAGGCGTGGTAACTATATTTGTGGATGCGTTTTAACGCTTGAACTACATTTCCCGCGAAGCCTGTACAGTTTGCTATATCTTATGAATGGGTCACTGACTTTGTAAAATAACTCTGAAGCTGACTGAAAATGCACTCGCAAACCTCTGTAGTATGAATGACAACATTATAAAATGATTATTTTTTTGCGGCGTGATTTTTCATGCACCGTGTTTGCCCCCAAAGCAGCGTTAATAATCGTTATTCCGGCTGTCCAGTCTGAGGATTGCTTTTATTACAAACCGTAAGGTCTTACGATGTTACAGAGATGTAATCACTCCCGTCAATACAATGATTGATAATTTTATTTTATAAAAATCAGATACTGACTTTGGCCTACATAGGCTATATCTACCACTCAAAAAAGACAAGCAAAGCAATAGGTGGCGCATAATTCGTTGAAATAAAATTTGAATATTGCATCAAACTATCATAATCTACAAGTGAAACAATTCACCGTGGATTTGGATAAATACGGGACGGCTCAAAGGATAATTTATGTTTGTCTGTTCGCATATTCGATGTTTCAGATTTGGTGTTTTACTGATATGAGAACTTAAACATTCTTCACTCTTTTACACTAAACGTTGTAAATGTATTAAATCAAACGGCTCGTAGAGTATAATTTGATACTTACTAAAATTACGTAAAACGTCGACGCTTCGGATTTTTAACAACATACGTGTTTAAATAGAATGTGATTTTGAATGTAATGTGCACAATAAATCCCAAACCAGGCATGACAGATACCAGCCACACAATGTGAATATAATCAACAATGGGAATCAAAATAAAAGGACAAGCAGGCCTACTGTGTCCTGGAGCGATTCAGGCCTCATGATATATGCGTGTTAAAGGTTAAAATATAAAATAGGTTAGTTTTTTAAGCAACAAACAAGAGGTAATAAACTAAACATTCGCGATTATAACGTTTTATTCGCTTTATGTTGACGTAACAGTTACTTTAACAGAATAAGTTTTCAAAGTTTTCAGAGTAAAATTGGCATTGCCGCCTTATGACAATAAATATAGGCCTAATTCAAACGATACATTTATCGTTACGACTTCATATATAGGCCATTGTATATTTTTAATTACCCAGGAAAAATATGTGGTGTGTTTTGGTAAGATTTCAGGATTTGAGCTCAAATCACATTTGTGTGTATTCTGCAGAATTCATTGTATTAAATACGTGACCAATTTTTCGTATTTTAACGGAGGTCTTTTGAAGTGTAGCTGTTTTAGAAAGTGAAATACAGACAAAACGTATTATAGTGTTTCCGATTTTTAAATCTCCATTCAATAGATTAAAAAAATCATAATGCACAGAAAAAGGATGTACAAACTTTTTTAAAATTACCGCTCATGTTTCTGTTTTCTGTTTTTATCAAAGTTTTCTTACAACCTATACATGGCAAATATGTTAAAACATAGTAAAATCCTTTTATAATTTAGGGACAGTCAGTACTAAAAGTTCTATTGCATATCATTAAATAATAGTAATAATACAGCAATACAATGTGCAATTTGTCGTCCATTTAGTGTTCGACCGTATACACTGTTGGATCAAACATTATTTTAAACGTTTATTAGCCTTTTTTGATAGATTGGTATTAATAGATTTATTTTGCTACCTGTAACTGCATAACCCGGATAATGTGATAATCCACATGAACTATGAAATATTTAGCACTGACATTTGTACGTGGGACCAGGGGCGTCAGAAGCATTTTGAATGTGGGGGGGGGGGGGAATACTGGCATAAAACTAATATTTATGAAAACGAATAATTATGAAATGTGAGGGGGACTCGTCCCCCTCAGATTTAATGGCGGCGACGCCCATGCGTGGGACAATATATTAGGCTACTTATTAATTTATTTTTGTTATACAGTCCAGTCAGTATGTATATGTGTGTATGCGGTTTTTAAAGTAATGTAACATAAATCGTTAATTGCAGCATAAATTCACAAATGAAAGTAGAAGTGGGAACTGAACTCCTAGTAAGAGCAGGGTTTGCATTGGCTAATTGTAAAATGATGTCACTTGGCGTTTGTTTAGCGCAATAAGAATAAAAGATGACGGTGAGGGCCGTGTTCAGCCTCTGCGGCACACAGGAGCCGTATTTGTATGTAGAAGCTTCTGCGTATAACCTTAAAGACACCTACGAACTTATGCTTACAGGTACGGGCACTAAATTATCCAAACATTTTCATCCCTTTCTCCAGATATATTTGTCGACCACACCCAGTTCCCGAAGCTGGCACCCATCAAGCCACTCTATACATAATGAAAGGATCGGGGGTGGATGGCTATCTTTGGTTATCTAGCTGTATGAGTGTTAGTCAGTCATCATAAAGCTAGATAACCGAATGTAGAAATTGCTCCCTAATCTGCGCCTTACTTAAAATGCAAAAACTCAGCGCCGAAGGACACCGCACGAAAACACCGCTCCAGGTAAGTTAACCGCTTGTTTAAATACTTCCCCCATAGATCGTGCTGTTGTTGCGCTACATAGCCTACTGTATCCATCTGACGCCCTTGTGTATCACTGTTTTACCGTTGCTGTTCATATTTCAAATGCCGATCGTATGTAATTGTAGGCCTAAGTATGTTTCCTAATGTATTAAATAATAAGTTGTATCCCCGAACCTGTGCTCGTGACATACCTGAAACTTTTGTAGGCCTACGTCTAGTTTAAAAGCAGAAGGAAGGTCCCATAAGGTTTACATTAAGAGAAGCTGTTTATTCTTTTTGCTCAGCTTGATCATATAAATTAACGTGATCATAGTAGACGTGCAATGACGTGGAAATGAATACATGTTGCTCAAAAGCAGGAGTGCTATCTCCTCCTGGGCACCTCCTAAACATCCTCACTTGAGGAGTGCTGGCCTCCTCCTATTCACCTCCTAAACATCCTCAATTGAGGAGTGCTGGCCTCCTCCTATTCACCTCCTAAACATCCTCACCGGAGCTGCACTTATAATATCTGACATATTCAAAAAAGAGGAACAAGACAATGAATGATTGATAAGCAGATTCTGTAAAACAAAATGACCACCCTCAAAAATATTCTTAATCCAAACTGGGAGAGTAGAAAATTTATAAAATGGCCGTCTGATTTCAAACAAGCGGTTAAGTAAATGTCCTTTGTACATTGCCTTAAAAGTATGTACCTGATTTTAAAAAGATTTGCATATTTTAATCTTGTAACAACTGACATTATCAACTGATTTGAGATGGATGAAGCTGGACCGGTGTGTATATAAATATATGTAAATATATATAGACAGGCACATATATATACACATACAGACACGCATGCACATATCTGTGTATGTATGTGAGCTTCATGGGTACAGTCCCCAGGTAGATGGCATGAGAGTCCTCAAACAGCTCACATTTAAAAAAAAACAGTGCTTCGGATTTCTAATGGCAGCCAAAATGATGTTGGATTGGCAAAGTGTGTGTGAAAAGGGCCCCGTCTCTAAGACTTGGCACTGGGAGCTGTCCGTTGAACTTTGCGCTACATGGTGCTGAATATTAAACAGTTCTGTATCCTAGGTCTGCTGTGAGCTTCTTGTTGCCTCAGACCTGGCAGTATCTGTGCGCATGATTTAAACAGTCTTTAATAAACTCACAATTCCTTGTGCTGCAAAATTGATCTTGTAATTAATTTTGTATGGTTATTTTTATTATTTTTTAAAAATAGCAAAATGTAAGCAATTATAACAAAAATGGCCATTACCAAGTCATCCGATTAAGAAAAAAAAAACTGAGAAATGGAATCTAGGTATGAAGTATTTCAGTGAGTGTGTGTGTGTGTGTGTGTGTGTATTATGTTTATATTACATTGTGAGGACCAAATCTGTGACTGCGATTAAAATGTTAAAAATAAAAAAATATTTTGTTTAGTTACAGTTAGTTAAGGTTAGGGCTGGGTAGGGGTTAAGGTCAACATGTTGGGATTAGAGTTTTCCCCATAGAAATGAATGGAGAGTCCCCACTGTGTGTGTATGTGTGTATGTATATATATATATATATATATGAATGAATTTGCGCGTGTGTGTGTGTGTGTGTGTGTGTATAAATATATAATATTGTTTTTTACATGAAATCTTGCCCTTGACAGGGTGAAAATATAAGCAACAAACAAGTCCTACACTTTTAAAATATTTTTCATGTGGTTTTAGATAAATATATAACTACATTATTAAAACACTAAAACTTTGTTTTACGTTAAAGATAAACATCTGTGGGTGTTTGCTTTAAGTAAGCTTAGGAATGTTATATTGAAAAACATTGCATTTATGAAAATTAAACATACATTTTCAGAGGTCCGCTACAAAAGTTACTGTATGTAGAAGTGGTAAGTCATTCATAGCCATGACATAATTAAGATGCGACTCACTGTCATTATTTGTTACATAATGATTTAAAAATTATTGAATGTCAAAGCATAAACAACCTATTCAGATGCACCTCAATGTTCCTGTTCTGACGTATCAAAAGCATGTTGTTGTCATTTAGTCCTCTTCAGTTCATTTGAGGTGATTTTAAAATGAAATGTTATTTGCTGCAAAATAGCTAGTTTTTCAGTTAGCATATATACACATAAATTGATCAAGCCTGTGGTGCTTTTTCTAATTAATATCTGCAATATATACAGACTTGGGTCTGTTGTGTTTTTTGTTTATTAGTGCTTTAGCTGATGCTGCACTAATAAATCAAATGAAGAAAGTGTGAAATTTCTGGAAGTAAAATGTTATTCTAAACAGGAAATTTGTTTATATTACGTGAAAGAATGGTCTTGCTTTGGTAAATATTCGGTTACAAATTAAAATTTAAAGCTGAAGGTATGGAAATAAGTGTAGGTAAAGGTGGTTTAGATAAAGGCGCTTAAGAAAGTGTCTTCTTAGATGAGGAGGGTCCAGGCCGCGTCTTTGCTGTCGGGCAGAAGCACCATCACTGCTCCATATTTCTATCAGTGCGATCTTTTAGTACAGGCTGTGCTAGACCCTACAGAGCATGAAGAACAGCAGAAAATGCTGTAGGTCCATGAGCAGAAGCTCCAGTCCGGGGTTTGGTGGGGAGTGGAGCAGACTGGGATCCCACCCCCCCCGGCCTCCCCCCACGCCCCCAGCTCAGTGCCAGCACATTCTAAATGACTACAAAGGCCATTATAATAAAAGTATAGCGAGGTGCTGACAGCGGCTCCGGTGGGACACAAACGTTTATGGGGTGTCCGGCCAGTGGTCTCCGGATCACATCACACAACCAGAGAGACATGCAGCTATACCAGTGAACAGACAGTAAAGCACAGATTTACATTCAAGGGAATCTCACTGACCTGGCCAGGCATGGGGGGGGGGGGGCACGGGTGGCTCCCCACCATTCTGGAGCGAAAAGCTGATGACATAATCCAGCGTTAGGAAATGGGTCTGAACTGACTGAAACCTGTAGGCAGCAGCTCATTTCAGCAGAACATGGGCTTTGGAAATGTATTATGTACAGTCAGGATGCTGTAAATGCATTTGTCGTGTTATACATATTTTATCCTGGTAATTCATTTGCTGAAAAAGAAGTCGACAGCCGAGGCAGGTTAATTGGTGCAAATGGCGGGACCGTGAAGAGTAATGGTGTGGCGTGGACCAGTGTTTTCTGCACAGAGTGAAATTACACGTGATGTACGCCCTTTGTGTTTCGGAGCCGCGCGTCGGGAATGCGGCTCCCCGTCGTGTGGGTGTGAGGCGCAGCGGCGGTACATAATCTCCGCTGACCTCATTTACAGGGTCCAACCCTGGGCTTGAATTAAAGAGGAATTTGTGGCTGTTCCTGTGGGGGCTCATGCATGTGTGGGTCCGTGCGAACCTGCAGAACTGGGACATGGGCCCTATGTTTTTTTTTTTTTCTCGTAAGATGCCGCTTCCCTCCTGGCTCCATCCATTCATTATGTCTCCCAGCTTTCCATGGTAATTACTGTCACACGGCGAGATATGCATGTGATCAAAATGAATGGAGGTGCCTCTCGGGGCCCGTGGGTAGGGGATCGCCGCAGAAACTGGCGGGAAAGCAACATACTATGTACCAATGCTGCCATTTTGGAAATGGGGATGGGGGGGGGGGGGGAGGCACCTATTCATCCTCCTCCATCTCTCTGACAATAGTATGACTTATTTGCTCCTTCCAATAGGACATAGAAGAAGGGGGCTGTCACCATCGTGGGGGGGGGGGGGGGGATGGCAGTGAAGAAAAGCCCTGGAAGCAGACTGTTATTACCAAGCTGGTCCCATAGCAACCACCATGTGACCTATTTCCATAGATAAACCGCATGGTAAGGTGATGAGACACATGATGCTCCATGCTCTAGGGCCATAATCATGTCAGCCTGCAGGGGGAGCCGTGAGACGCGGCCTTCGTGTTTGGCTGAATAGGGCTGAGATGACCAAGGTCAAATTTGGGGTCTGAGTCAGAGGTCAAGATCAAGAGCAGCGTCAGCCCCAGTGGAATGGCGCTCTTCCGCGTCAGTGTTAGCCGTTAGCAGCTAGCGGGCTGCACCATTGCACTGTAATGCCCCACACCATGTTAACCCCTGACCGTAGCCCCCGTGTCACTGGTTATGTGACATTATCTGTGGGCTTTCTGACACCCCTGCACAATAGCAGCATTGTGAGCAGCCCCTGGCCCCCGGCCCGTCTGTCTCATTGTCTGGGCTGCAGACGTAGGGGGCTGGGTGGGAACCAAGGAGCAGAGCAGACATGAGCAGATGCTTACATTAGGAATGTCTGTGTCTGTGTGTGTGTGTGAACATGTTGGGGATTTGCTGTGATTGCTTCCATGTCTATACCAATACCATATGTAGCAGCTGGCACAGTAAAAGGGGTTAATGCATCCTGTGCTGTCAGTGCATACTGCCCAGCCTCCAGAATACAACACAGTAAGACGAAACCCTACAGCCTCCCCTGTTCACTCCAGCAGACTTTTACCTCCACTGCACATCCCTTCTTATGCGGGGATCAGCAGGATTATCATATTATGACACAGTGGCTTTGCAGGAGCCACCAAGGCCTGCTCTCGACCCAGATCCTGGCTGCTGCTGCTGCTGGAAGGCAGGCCACATAAGGCAGGCCAAGCATCTGGAAAAGATGCCCAGCAGGCCTGCTGTCTGCAGCCAGCTCAGCCAACCCTGTCCCGAGCACCTCAGCCACAAATCCAATCCTGTGCTTGAATCCCTCTTTGTGAGCATCTTCTGCGTTAAATCAAATGTGGTAGGAACAGTAAATGAGACTCAGAGAGCAAACCGAGAGCGCTTTCAGAAATAACGTCTGCAGGCATAACATAATAACATAAGGCCTAAAATTTGTGGGAAGCTGTTTTTTTTACTACTGCGTTTTTACTTTGCACTCATGGTCACCTGAAGAAGTTTTTGTTAAATACTGTTTTCGTATTGGTGCAGAGATGTCACACGGGTGTTTATTATTTTCATGTAACCACACAGGTAGTTCTGGCAGTCTAATAACAGTTTTATGCTTTGATGTTTTTTTAAACATATTAATAAATCTGTGTGCCTTTTTACTGATACATAAACAGACATTCTTATTGGCATAATTTTCTTTGGTTTGCAAACACAAGCACCTGTCCGTTAACAGCTTCTATAACTTAAGGGACTTGCCGCTTCCACTGACCAAACATTCTATTCTTATAGGGATATATTTTTAAGAGCACATTGCAATATTATTAAATGCTAATTGAAATAATTTTCTTCTGAAAAATGAACTGCAACTTGTTATTTCTATGATTGTGTTTTGTTTGTTAGCGTTGGTGTAAGCAAGATAAACTATTTCAAGCTGTGTGGTTTTATGGAAAAAAATCAACTGCAGCATTACAGCAAGTTGTAGTTGATTATTGTTGTGTAACTGCACACCTTGTCATGGATTATCCCTTGCTTATCACATGATTAATTTTAATACAGGTCATTCCATAAAACTATGTCCATAATATAGCCAATAGTACAATGCATATTGCGGAATCAGCAGATAAAGGATATTAAAGTAAAACCATAATGAGAACTTCCTTCATGTAGATCATAGTTCACACTGTCAGAAAAAAGTACCAACTACAATTACTTGTCACTTGGTCCCTTTGTTTCTGACATATCCAGCATGTAAACAGCTTCAGCACTGGCTGTCTATATCCTGCACACAGAGACAGTTCTTCATTCAGTCAGGGTCGATCTTTACCAGCCTTGAACTTCTCAGTTTTGGTGGGAGTGATGGGTCATGTAGCTGTTAAGTCAATCTATAATAAGCATTTTTTAATATTAGAGAATTATAAAAAGAAAAAAACATTAATGCTTTTGTTAAAAAATTAGAATTCATTTGTCAGTTTTGAAATGAAGTACCTCTCCTTAATTTGAACTGTTTGGAATTAATGACCTGCTCAGGAACTTTTGTAGCTGTTATAAAATTATTCAAAGAAGAAAGTCTAATTCATCCCTAGCGCTTTAGATTGTTCCGGTATTTTATGATGACAAAGCGGCAGCGATAACCGAGCCTGGAGAGCAGACCCCAGACCCCAGGGGGAGAGCAGACCCCAGACCCCAGGGGGAGAGCAGACCCCAGACCCCAGGGGGAGAGCAGACATGCGGCATCTTTGTCTGGCCTTGTCTGTGACTTGTTTAAAGTGCCTTAATCTCCCTGACAATCGTCCTTTCGTTTCTTCCTTCCCCTCTCATTCTGTCGGCGACCCGTTGTAGCCTAATCATCATGCGGGACAAGTTCACGTTCACAGCAGTAGAAATGCGACATCTCGTGGGACGCCTAGCTAGCCTAGTCTGCGCTGTTGCCAGGGGAGACGCAGGCAAAGGCAGCAATGCGCTGGTGAAAAAGCTGACCTGTCAAAGTGTCTGAGCCCCCAGCCGCCGCACCCAGATTCCAGTGAACGGCAGCAGGGGCCTGGGATACTCACTCTCAGGGAATACTCGCACTCAGGGAATACTCGCACTCAGGGGACACTCACTCTCAGGGAATACTCGCATTCAGGGGACACTCACTCTCAGGGAATACTCGCATTCAGATGATACTCACTCTCAGGGAATACTCGCTCTCAGGGAATACTCGCTCTCAGGGGATACTCGCTCTCAGGGGATACTCGCTCTCAGGGGATACTCGCTCTCAGGGAATACTTGCTCTCAGGGAATACTCACTCTCAGGGAATACTTTAAGGGGTTACTTATAGTTAAGGTTAGGGCTGGGTAGGGGTTAAGGTTGTTATTGTTGAGATTAGGGTTTTGCCCATAGAAATTAATTGACAGTCCCCACGAAGATATGAATACAAAAATTGGTGCATGTATGTGTGTGCGTGTGGAAACAGAGGTATATATATTGCATATTGGATGCACATTGATGAATGATATAAAATTATAGCTGATAGTGCATTGTGTCCAACTAGGGGAATTTTAATTTACTTTTTACTTTAGCATAATGTTATGTTGTTGGAATACAAACCATAAAATAAATAGCCAAAGAAATTTGTTTATAAATATGTTCACCTACAATTCATAACAGGTCAATGAAATTTGAGTTTCTGAATGAGAGTCTATGGGTATTATGTGAAATGCACGTTTTGTGTTTTTTTGTGAACCTGAGCTGAGTTATTAAATGGGCAAAGTCGGTTCAAAGAAGACCCAGCTTTACCGTGGGCCATTTCTTGGGGGTATCAAGTTAGCTTATGACTCTTATTATGTGCTTAAAGCAATCAAAGGACAGGCCACAATCCACCCATCCTACATCTGCTTATCCTGCTCAAGGTTTTGGGCTAAGAGTCTAGTCCAAGCAAGAGAGGGCCAGTCTGAGCAGCGCAAGCACACACAGCCATACAGAATGGGCAATTTTAAGATTTTGGTTAGAAGAGCATGTACAATCAGTGCACACAGAACAGGATTCAAATGCTACACATACAACTGCTAATTAAAGACAGGGTGTAATTGGGAGGCACAATGCACATGTGATTGTTTGTGAATGCACAGAGGAACTGCACACCCAACCGTAACAGTGCAGGTGAACCCAGGAAGACCGAGCTTCTCCTCAGAGGTACAGTGTGCATGGCTGGGAACATGTGCCGGCCTCCTGACTCACTCTGCCTCTCCTCTCATCCTGCTGGCAGGTGCAATGCACATCAGGCAGAGAGACCCCCGCCCCCCCCCCCCATCTGAGTCACCGAGCTCATCATGGCAGCACATGGAGACTCTCCAGGGGAAGCAGGCGGTGAACTGCAGCTCGGGGGTGTATCCAGCAGGCTTTAGGGAGCTGTGGAGCAGACAATAAAGTGCGGAATCACTAGTGTTACATGAATTTCTTGGACTTGATGCACTGGTGCATGCTAGTGTGCAATGAGGATCATTCTCACTTTTCTTACTTTGAATTTTGATTAAAAAATTGATCGTCTTCTGGAATGATATAATGGAGACCATCTCCTTGATATGAAAATGTTTAGAATATTAGCGGTTGTATGGATATTTACAAATGTTTTTGTACGTTAAGTTTTGATTTCAGGGAAAAAATAAAGCATCATTCACATGCATCCGAAGACCAGTCTGACCAATTATTGTTCCATGTTGATGATGAGTGTAAATAAACCACATCCAAACACCTTCATGGAAAGAGGGCAGCTATTAGTAGAGACATAAATCCATCATCGGATCTGAGGTCTTCTTAACAGAAATCCTTGATTAATCGGAACTATCAAGTAAATACAACGCGTGGTTGTAAAATCCAACCTATTAGAAATCCCCACAGGACAGTTAAATGACTAGTATTAGAGGTAAAGTATCATTTTTTAATGTTCAGAATTTAAGCGCGTTACAGTAAGTAAACATATAAGCTCACTGCAGTAGGAAATGGGCCATCCGACGCTGTCTGTAACATCTGCATGCAGCCGGTAGTTTAGCACCCTGGACAGCGCCGCACCTGCCGCGCGGAGGTACCCCCGGGAGCTGTGGGGAACACCCTCTATTATATACGTCGGGCACAGCGCCACCTAAACCTGTCACAGTGCCATTGCATTTAATGATAAAATGTGTCATTTGGAATCAGCCCGTGAGGATTTGAAGGGAAATGCATGCGAATCATTTATACGAATACAAAAAGTATGAAAAGCATAAGAAAAAGTCAATTCCTGAATGATATTTCTGTGTGCAATGGTAAAAGTCACGCAGCAGGCAGAATGGGTGTTTAGTTACGCAGCGATGAGCCTGGTTTCAATAGGTATCAATTAGTATTAAGGAATCATGCGAAATCATATCCGGTAATTTAAAGAAATAAAAATAGCCGTATCATAACCAGATTTACACTCTCATAACGAGTAACTTTCGCTGTTACTAAAGCCAACTTTTCCTGTTTGCCACACAAAAGCTTTTCAGTGTGGGTACAAAAGCAAACTGACTGAAATGTAAACCAGTTGAGGAAGTAAATGTTCTCGTTCGAAACAAATCAATCTCATTTTAGAGAACCGTGTATATTTTACAGGTGTATATATAAGATTTTTACTTCTTCTTCTTTACGTAATCGCTACATTTAGGTGCTTTCGGCAACTGCATTTCGCGACAGCGCGACACAGCGCTCTTTATTTCTAGTTGTTCAGAGTTTGATAGATTTGCATGAAAATGTGTGAGAAAGACTGGTTTCAATGACCTCCCTACCAGCTGCCATTAAGATTTAATGAAGTATTGAATAGCTGCAGTGGAAGAACACGCTCGGGACGTGAATGGAATCGGAGGTGCCGCCGGGACTGTGAGAAACGGCGCGGGCGAGCGGACTTGGGCTCAGGGACAGACTGACCCTCCGAACAAAACTGCCGTTTGCTTGTTTTTGGATACGTGTCTATAAATTAATTCGCCAAGTCTGGGTGACCTGCCCTATTCTGTTTCAAACAAATGGTAATTTACACAGGCCTATCTCTTTACACATACTATATAAAGTAATGGTAAATGTGTATATATGAACATTTATCCGATGTAAGAATATTTCTAAAAAATAAAGCCTCTTGTTATTATTGTTGTTCTGTTTCTTAATTGTTGGTGATTATGAAGATGATGTTATTAGCGCTGAATGTAACAGAAAGCAGGTTGTTCTTTACTCCGTGATAAAATGACAGAATTCCTGGTAAAGAGGTAAAGTGAAATTTAAAGTTAAAGGATATCCTTCCTCCCCCAAATATCAGAAACAGCCTTGTTTTGAAGACATACGGCAGATGACGAATTTTGAAAGGCAGGTGTATTTGTCGTGTGTATAAGGAAAAACCCTCCCAGCCCGGTCAGTGTAATGCTCCGCTCACGAACACTTAACAATCTTAATTCGCGTTATTCTCAGTAAGTCTACAGGCAAAACACGATACTCTGTGAAATAATTAGCCACGAACAAAATAAAAATTGAGCCAGAGATGTAATTTATATGGATGGCGTAAGACAAAACAGTTTGTCAAGTACAGACTGGTTTGTTGTCTTCGTTACATTGCATTTCCTCCCGATACCCGATACGGCTTAAAGGTAAGAAATTTCTGACAGAAAAGACTTGTAAGAGTCTGAATACTATCTTTCCATACTGTTACTGAGCGTGTGTTGTGCACATGACCACAATTTTCTTAAATCGTTTTAGTCTTGGTGCATCTCAGTTTTGAACAAACCATAAGTCACTTACGATTGGCTGTCTATGGCCAAATTCTGTCCCGCAACATACGATTGGCTACACGAAACAACCACTCAGCGAGTGTTTGCCTTCACACAGTCAGTCACCAAGTAATACCCGTGAAAAATAAGAAATATTTGACCAAATTCTGGTCATTTCGCGGATTGTAATTGTTTTTCTCCTGTTGAATAACTTTTAATTCAACGAATTACGGTAGATGTAAACGATGAACCCAAAGAACTTATTAAGTAAATACAAACTTATTGAAACATTGCACATTCATTTAAATAAAGATAACGGGAAACATTTGCGAAAAAACATTCTTTCACTCTGAAAATGTTGTCTTCCAGATCAGAGATAATTTTAAACTGTCCTTAAATATTCTTCTTAAATCCACAATTAAACACACTGAACAACCATGTAAAAGTCCCTTTTATAGTATTCATATTTGTGGTGAGCCTTGTTTTTTTGTTACTGACACAACATAACATTTAAATTTCAGTGTTTTCGATTATATTTTACAGCACCTCAGGACCAACACATACTTGTTTAGCTTTGCTGTATACCTGCATCTTAAGTATAAATAATTTTCTAAATGATCTCCTAAAGCAGTGATATCGCGAATTCTGCACTGTGCACTGTGGGTAATACACCAGCGTCAGCTTTCAAATCTTCGCTCTCTTGTATTACAACACACCAATTTAAACCGTTTTGTGGAAGGTCTTTTGTGGAAAGACGCTATTTAAAATAAAATGCCGATTTTAAATATCTTAAAACTTTTTGAATGCTACATATGCATTCAAAGTAAGGCAATGCGAAATATTTCAGTACATCTATATAAACTACATCTGTATTGGAAAAAAATCAGCTAAAATATAGTATAATAAAAACATTAATTTAATCTATAATTTTTAAATTACTTAACATATTTTGCCAGTAGATATTTTCAGTATAGTATATTCTGAATTGCTGTGATTATGAGTTTAGCTCAGCACGTTTAATATTTTGACAGCTTATGGCATATTTATTTTCCCATTTTAAAAGGAAACGTGTTTGAATAAGAAATTCCATTCAATTATGTTTTTTAAAGGTATACATGAACATCCGCATTTTAAAAATTCATTAGTCTGTTGCTTTTTGGATATTCATCTGTCAAAGGTAAAGCCGAGCGATTAACGTGCGTCAGGTTTTACGGTATCATATAAGAATTATTATGTCTTTGATACACAGCGTGTATTACATTAAATAGCTATTGTACTGACACTACGCATCACCAAAAAAAATGGAGTAAATACAGTTTAAAAGAAATGTAAATCTTCTTTTACTGAGTAGCCTCACAATTCATTTCCTGATAATATGTTCGGTTTCAGGAAAAGAAAAACAACACGCATGCTGATGTATATAACTAATCAGACAGGCGGTGAAGTAGCCTGTCTAATGCTTCGATGTGAGTAGAAACATCCTAACCTGAGATATTACATGCAATTCGCACGCGAAGGGACACGCTGAGCCTTCGCTGTTAAAACTCTGCCATGCATCTCTAGTAAATTAAGGACAGCTTACTGTAAAGTCAGAGGTTACAAGTCTGATAAACTGTCAGGACCCCTCTCAAGAGGAACAGAACAACTGAAGGACTTGACAGAACAGGAGTGTGGTCCATTCTGCTGTCAATCCGTCAAACACATTCTTGTCCTTTAGTCGTGAATGAATATTTATCTGAGCTCTGAATATACCCAGAATATCACATGGTTGTGCATGACCACAGACCAAAAATGTGGTAATTCACTAAATTTTATTCATATTTTATCTTAGAATGTATGAAAAGGTGACAGCTATGACTACATTTTATCAATGTTTTAGTGAGCTTGTCTGAATCAAAAACCAAGAACACTGTGATATTTGATCGTTGCCTCGGCCACGCCCCTTTGTGGTGCCCTCCTATGACAGACACCGTCACCCTGTTACCGCCTGGTCACATGGCACTGTGGGATCACGTCACATTCATTCACTGACAATAAATATGGCCCTTGTACGATGCCTTAGTTAATTACTGCAGGCTCACATGCATGATTGAATTGGCACATTGTTTGCTAGAAATATTTTAACAGAACTGTAATAGAATTCAGTGCAGTTGTTCCCCTTTTTTTCAAGGATGTAAAAACTGAGGTGTATTATACAAAGATGAAATCACAGAGGACAATAATAAATTTACATGCGGGAAATTTACGAACATGTGTCAGATATAGCGAATATAACTGTATGTTGAAATACTTAGCAATACCAAACGTGTCACTGCAAAAGGTACGTAACACACCGTTTTGTTGGCCACCACTCCACAACATCAAAAGCATTTCCTTGCAGGAAGCCAAGATATCTCAACAACTTGGGGTGCGTTTCCCAAAACCATCGTTGCTAACTGCAACTTCCGCGGTTCGAACTATGTAAGTACGACGCAGGTGATTCCCGAAACCATAGTTCGAACTACAGAGGTAACGATACTGCGGACTTACGTAGTACGATGCATCGTTAAACGACGCAGGTGTTTCCCAAAGCCATAGTTCGAACGAACGTTCGCAAACACTGTTGTTAAGTTGCGTAGTTCGAATTAGAGCTCGCGAGCTGTAGTTAGAAGCGTAGTTCCGGGTAAATATGTCAGCGATGGTGGAAAATGCAGTCTAATAAGGGTATAGTCACAGTATAAGTAAGAAATGTAATAATCTTTAATACATAATAAGGAATAATTTAGCTCTACGTACGATCACATATAATGTGAAGTTTTTGTTGTGTGGGTCTCTGGTCATAAGTACGGTGACTGTCTAGTGAGCAGTAGGGACAATTCTCAGACTGCAAAGTATTGATTAGCACAGGGGTGGCTAATTTTATTCAGAAAGGGCCGTTAGGCATGAAGCTTTTCGCTGCAACTCCGTGCTTAGAGTAGAACGTAGAGGACCGATCGACTGAAGAGGTCGCACAACTGGGTTTGAGCAACTGATCCAACGGTTATCCCAAAAAAAACCTGCCAACACACCGGCCCTTTCCATAATGGAACAGTAGAATGACACTACAGCGGTCAGACACGAATCCATGCCTTTGTACTCGGGAAATGTCGTCTGTAATGTTTGGATATTACACGCACCTGTCTATTCCAGTCAGCCACTTAACTAGGTCGTCCTTAGGATGTCCTCTTTTGGTCCGGAAATCATCCTCAAAGGACGAGTTCTGGACATCCTGATGGAACATTAATAAAAAGAAGTACTTCAGATACAATTATTTATTTAAAATGCTATTCCTGGAAGCTGTCACAACAACTTGATTTTGAAGGATTTCTTTATTGTTCATAGTAACACGGTCGTCCCCCCAACAAAGGACGTGTTGCGGACGACCTGAGGACGTCTTCTGGATGGCCCTTGTTTGCTGGGGTGGCATTATTTTGGCGCGATTGCTATTTTTCATATTATTGGTATTATGTGACACATTGACATATTATATATATATATGTGTGTGTGTGTGATTATTGTATATTTATATGATATTACACAGTTGACGAGTTTTTGTACGCGACCGGCTGTGAAAGTACTTTGTTAGTTGTTGCGCACGACTCGCCCTGAGTCTGACCAATCAGCGCTGGAACCACTGTAGTTCGAACTACGAAAGTCCCAGCTAACTAACGTGGTTCGAACTACTGTGGTACGACGGTTTTGGTTAACAGTCATACTTCGAATGTTGGTTAGTTTGAACTACCATAGTACGATGCATCGTTAATGCCAACTTCCGTCGTTGTTTGGGAAACGCACCCCTGGTCGTTAACTGACGGGGATCTGCATGGCAACTCGACAATGTAAAGGCGGGGGGGGGGGGCGACGGCAGTAAGACACAGGACTATGCTTCGCGCATTTTTATCTTGCAGACATTGAGCATTAGGGCGTATATTCTGCGTTAGCATAATAAAGGCGACAGCCCTGTGAACTTCCCCAACCTATTGACCCTGTCCCTGTCATGAATAGCTCCAGCCTCACACCCCCCCTGCTTCCCCTTCGGGCCTGAACCACGTCTAAATTCCTCATCATGCTAATTTAATATCTTAAAGTCCAGACAACTTCGCTTTGGCGGTTCTATAGTTGATTATAGACATTCGTTTTTTTGTGCCAGTCTTTAAAGCGCTTCATCGGGCCACCGTAAGGAGGCGTATCGAGATGTAAAGTATTAATCGTGGTTTTATTAATTAAAACGGCCGTCGCAGCATTCAGGTTTACGCAGATCCACCTACATGTCTCGTGTTTGTGTGGTTTAATTAATCATTTTCGATCAAGGACGCAATTTTCAGTTTAAGAATGTGTTAATCTTCTGTTTTAATGATTTCTGAATCTGCTGCAGTGTATAAATTTGAAACTTTTTTTCGGAATTGATTTCATGCTGAACCTAACATTTACCTCGTATATGTGGTTATATGCTGTTGAGTATTCGTGATGTGCGCTGTATCAGTTTATCAGTTTAGACTTATAGGCCACTTGATTATATTAACTGTAGGATGGTTAACTTAGGGGTAGACAGCCTAGCGCGGTGATCGTCTGAGTGTTTTGCCAGAATGTAAATTCTAACTTTAAAACTAAATGTATTTTCTCTGTCTTGTGTATTTTACAATATATAATTTTAAAATATATCCTGCACCTTTTCGTTTATTTTTTACAAAAACAACAACAACAACAACAATAATAATAATAATAATAATAATCTGATCTATTAACCTGTCATTTGGATTTTCTTTAAAGCCCATGTAAATAATATCATACCGTTGATCAAAATAGCAGATAGAACGTTTTGGGTCTTCATGCAAGCAGAGGATCTACTTCACACTACTTGGCACGCGCGGATTTTTTGTGAGGACGAGATAACGAGAGCACTGGGTACCAGGCTTGTCATCGTTGCCCTTTAGCGGTGGTTTGCTAGCTATTTAACTTTACAATAATAACTTTCTGTACAAAAGAACAGCGGATATAAGATGTTCCTAAAAATAAAGAAAAGAAAAAAGCGAGGACATGGAGGAAGAGTTCGGCTTGGATTGGTGAAGGAGAGGGCTCGCCAGCTAGCTAGCCAGTGTATAGCTCAGTGGTTCTCAAACATTTTTGAAACAAGTCTCAGCATTTATCAGGTGAGGTCCGGTAAGGGAGGAATTCACAACACCTCGGGATCCCGGCACAAAGTCAAATTACCGGCACCAAAGGATTCCCCAAAGAGACACTAGCGAAGGAGTCTAGTCTTTTCTCGGGTCACTGGATAGCGTCCATGTTTCGCAGCCACACAGCAAAACAGGAAAAAGATCGTTCTTACGATCGCCATTTATGAAAACAAGTAGCCTATTTGTAAGGCACACCGTTTCAAGTAAAACATAATAAGCGTACCCAAATTCCACAATTAACACACCAGGGCAGCTCCCAAGGCGCATCAGTGCGCGGCAGTTTGAAAACCACGGGTCTAGTTAGTGCGTATGCACCCGAATACGAATACATTATTCCGAAACACACAAATAATGCATTGTAAACATATTTTTTCTACCAAAAGTTTTGTGTTATTATTCGGAAAAAGTCAGTTCCGTGAGTGACTTGTCTATGTTTCTTAAAATAAATTCAAATCATTGTAGATGGACAAAATATACAAATGCCCATTCTGTTTGAAACACAGGACTTTGATTTCACTCAACTCATCATTCCATTTACTGCACTTCTAAAGTGATCCCTATATTCTGTAGCTGATCCGCAATGATAGCGCACAACAGACAGAGGGCTGAGAGCCGAAAATTGTGCAATTATCGGGTGTAAATCTAAATTAGGCCTATTTCTTGGCTGGGATAAGCTCCCAGACGTTTCAAGACCCTAACAGTGCCCGTTCCTTCTCCATAAAGACTTTCTCTATCACGGTTTAAGACATTAAATGGGGATTTTTGGGAGATTTGTGGTCAGCCGCAGACCGCATTACCACTTCTAAATTACGGCTTAAAACTAATTTTTACTCCCAATATTTGGGTCTGTTTGATGTTTTTGTTGTTTAATGTTTTAATAGTTCCAGTAGTTTTCATTCCTGTCGTTGTATATGTCTTAATTACTATCTAAATTTCTAATTTAAGTTAAATTTGCCCTATTATGCATTATCACTTTTAAATCACGTCCTAAAACTCTTTTATTTTGTTAAATAGCAGTTGAGTCGGTTTAATGTCTGTTTTGCTGGTTTTAATGCTCTTTTTGTACGACCCTTTGGGTTGACACTTGTTATTTTAAAATGTGCTATCGGGCCTATAAACTTGACATAAATATATTACACACACTCACACGCACGCACATGGAATAAACCTAGCTTTTACACTAAAATTCTCCTTTGTGATTTAAAACATTTGAAATATCTATTTTCACTTTCAATAAAGTATCCCGTTGCGGAGAGCACCCTCTGCTGTTTCAAATGTTTTGTACACGATTAACAGCATTCCTAAGTCTTCTGGAGAACGGGCTTCTTTTTAAAAACATTTCAGAGACTCGGGTGTTTGTATGCTCCTGTGGATATTGTACTCCATTCAAGCAGAAGCCTTCCTACTGCAGTCACCCACCGGCTTTGTAGGACTGCCTGTGCTAACGCTCCAAAGCTCTGAAAATGAGCAGTGAAGCACCTTCATCATTCCATGCTGACCACACTGAAGCTATAATGTATTATGGCCTATCACCTACCCTCATTTGGAATTTGGTTACCTTTCCAGATAAACTGGTTGATTTTATGGGTTACGATTTTCCATTCTTTGTACTTGTACTTGTCACACAGAGTTTTCTTGTTTATTTGGTTAATGATAACAAGGTTTAAGGATAACTACATAGTTAAGTACAGTTAAGTCCCTGCGTTGTGGTATGTGGGACCCTGCACTTTCCTTATCAGGAAGGATAATCAGCCTGCTGCAAGGAGACTGAGGGTTTATATCTTATTGCTGGTTTGTTAATACTTTAGAGAACATTCAGATGGCAAGTTAATGGGCACTGTTGTCCAGTGGCTATTGGAGTTTCTGTTCAGTTAATTGCACATAACACAGTGCTGTACATTATCAAGGTTCAAGGTTCCTTTATTATCATCAGCAGCTTCATACATGTACAAAAGTGTGATGAAACAACGTTTCTCCATGGCCCCGGTGCAACATGCAGTAACATATAGTACGCTTAACGTCGCAGTAACAGCACATGCAAGATGCAAACAGGCAGTAAATAAATAGCACAGAGATAATAAATTATTGATGCTTTGGACCAATAAATGTTGAACACAAACGAAAAAACACATGCAACAGATATCATGTTGTGGATTATCATACAGATCCTGTCTGAAAATTACACAAAGAAGTTTATTCCCGTTTCCATTCAGCCATTATCAGTGACACAGCCCTAGGGAAGAGCTCAGCTATTTGATGTGTAACAAGGCAGTAGCTGGAACACGCCTAGGATGGAATTCTGCTCTGTCATTAGACACTCACATGCTAAGGGCACTTTGCAGGCATCGATTCATACGATGTTCATGGATCATGCAAGGAAACATAAAACCTTTTTTTTTTTCTTTAACCAATCCCCATTACTAGATTTGTGCTTTTCAGTGTCATTGCTGGAGCCTGTATTTGACACACCATCTGGTGGAAGGTTTGAGAACAGCAACAAAAAAATAGGAAGGGGCTCTCACGCACGTGTAAGCAGATACGGGAGCACTGGCTGGAACATTTATTGCTGGACCTTCTGAAAGTGGCCCCACAGGGACATGGGCCTTGCCACAGGTTCCTGTGAAATTCTCTTCTGGACCTCGAATTTGTGTGATCATATGGAACTGCATTTTGGCCTGTGGAGTTACAGCTGCTACTTACATGGCAGTGGGAGCACTGGTTTCACTTGAATGCCATGGTGTGGA